AAGTAGTCAATAGAATTCTGGAAAATTCGAGACATTTTTACATTACAAGTTATAGATATAATAACATCTTTTTATAAAAACAAAAATTGTACAATACTATATATGTATTACAGTTTCATAATAACATTTATGCCTTTCGTTTAAAAAAGTCATTAATATGTGTTTGGGTTTTTTTAGTAGAAATTTATGTACAAATGTGATCTACGCTCATAATACTATCAACAGGTCATTTTGACATTGAAACAAAGCATATTGTCATATATTATTAATATGTTCATACACATCTCCTGCTGAACACACTTTCAAATCATTGCAATGAGTTTTTAAATTCTTGATTTTTTCAGCAATTAGTTTTCACACTACCCCGATTTCAAAATATTAAAGTTTTAGAAATTTTAGATTATCATTACTTTTTATTTTATTCTATTAATTTTTTTTGTCAAAGGGTCAAATTTTTTGGGGTACTACATGTATTATTATAAAGCATCAGATGAGCACCTACACCATCAGCAATGAAAGGCTCAGTTCTGTAATGTTTAGTCCACTACGTTTCACTACAAACGATGGCATATGCTATTTACTCAGACTCAATTCCATGCACGATTTCCTCATTCAATTTATCCGGTATTATTAGTTGTCTGTCATTTTTTCGCTCGTTCCGACTATTTTTTTGAAGGGAGGTCACTCTGAGCACATGACAAAACTATGCCAATGCGGTGTTGTGATACGTTATTGCTCTGACAAAATATGTCACAATAAATATTACTATCGGAAAACTGTTTCTTTCTTTCCGATTTTGAAACGATTGCAATTGATATTCAATTCGTTTTTAAACGACAATTATTTGTGACGGTATAATTGAAGGCCGTTTAATAGATACTTTAAGACCAATGGCCATGAAAAATATTTGTTTGTTCAAACTTACTCGCTAATTACACAGGTGAGAATGTCCGTAGGGACGATTGTTCGTCACGGCCGTTTAATAGATACTTTAACACAGAATTTTGTACATTTGGGCCGACATTTAGTGACCGCTGGCCGCGATACAAAATCGTCGTTTAATAGAATTAACTTATATAGTAAAAATCATCGGGAGGGATTTTATGTGGCCGCTTAATAAAAAAAGTCGTTAAATAAAGGTGGACGCAAGTACGATGCCGACTGTACGTTGAAGAATAATATTTGACGAGGAAGTTATTTATAATTTTCATGACGTTATTTGGTTCGATGACGTCAGTTTGAAATAGTTTGATGAGTAATCACCCTTTTTGTATGCTGTGTTTAAATCATGTAATAATACACGACTGTCCAGAGGGGAAAAGTACGGTGTCCTTATCGTGCCATTTAGAATGTCGTCCGTCGCGTCTAAGGGTAGACACACGACAATGCGAAGTGACATCGCGACAATGCGAAGCGACGCTCGACAACGCGAAGCGATATGCGACAATGCGAAGCGACGCTCGACAGTGTCAAACGATATGTCGCACTGTCGCCTAGAAATGTCGCGGTAAAAAAGGGCGACATTTAAGAAATGTCGCTTCGCGTTGTCGAGTGTCGCTTCGCATTGTCGAGCGTCGCTTCGCGTTGTCGCGATGTCACTTCGCGTTGTCGCGATGTCACTTCGCGTTATCGCATTGTCACTTCGCATTGTCGAGTGTCGAGGTTGGTAGAAGTGCATACCACGACACTCGACAATGCGAAACGACAACGCGACAATGCGATACGACGCTCGACAATGCGAAGTGACACTCGACATCGCGAAGCGACATTTTTTTTAAAATGTCGAGTAAATGTCGCGTTATTTTTATGATTTTTACACCGCGACGCTCAACATTGCGAAGCGACACTCGACAATGCGAAGCGACACTCGACAACGCGAAGCGATACTCGACAACGCGAAGCGACACTCGACAATGCGAAGCGACATTTGGAATAATATCGTATCGCATTGTCGTGCGTCTACCGGTGCTTGGTCAGAATTTACTAACTCACCGACAAACGGTGCGATCATGGAAGGGGTCGCACTAAACTGCTGACGAATTAGCTGACGATATAGAATATATAGGAAACTGCTGACCAGTTAAACAAAGAAGGATTATCGAAAAACTGCTGACCAGTTAGATAAAGAAGGGAAAACAATGAAGGTGTCAAATTGCCGTTGGTGATTTACAGGCGAGGTCGAGAAATACTTGATAAAATGTTTTTTCAAGATGTCAATAATTACAAATGATACATATTAATTATAAAAAATTCAATTGATATATACTGTATATTTCTCAATTTATTTTGATATAATATTTTATTTAAGTACCTTAATGAATTTTCTTCTATGTGTTATATATTGGTTAAAATTTTAAAAAAATGTAGTCAAAATATGATGTACGAAAAATCATAGTTTGTTTCAAGTATGTATAAAACTATGCATCATAGGTTAAAATATATACATGTACATATACGTAATGTATATTTTAAACAAAATATAATTATTATGTCGTATTTAGTGCAAATATGAAATAAAGTGATTTCTGTTTCCTTATTTGTTTTTTCGTATAATTGTATAAGTTAATATTGAACACAAAATTAATAATGTGCTAATTGTTATAGTTAATAAGCTTTTTATTACATTATAAACAACATGTTTCCCACAGATATCCATTAAACTGATAATTTATCGAGATCGATATGCCCCAAGGTCATATTAAAATCGATTTCACACGCGACGTGTCATTCTTGATTTATCTATGACAAAATACAATAAACAGTCAAAAATATGCCGACCATATTGTAGAATCTGCTGAAAAGTTAGATATATAGAGAAAAATATATTTAAATGCTACGAAATTGTTACTCATTATGCAAATTTAATATATTTTATAAAATAATGTCGACATTTAATTAAGTAAAAAACACTGCTGACCAATTTAATGTTAATTCAAATTGATTTAAGCCGTAAAACTCTCTTATTCTATATGGTCAGCAAAATTTAACGCTCTTTACATTCAGGCGAGAAAATGCTGACCAGTTAAACATACAGTAGAATCTGCTGACCAGTTAGATATATAGGGAACTGCTGACCAGTTAGATATATAGAGAAAAAATATATTTTGTCGTGAAATTTTTATTCATTTTTATAATGTACGAAATTCAATATATTGTATAAAATTCTGGTCGACATTTAATTAAGTAAAAACACTGCTGACCAATTTAATGTTAATGTCAAATTGATTTAAGCCGTAAAACTCTCTTATTCTATATGGTCAGCAAATTTAACGCTTTTACATTCAGGCGAGAAAAATGCTGACCAGTTAAACATATATAGTAGAATCTGCTGACCAGTTAGATATATAGGGAAACTGCTGACCAGTTAGATATATAGAGAAAAAATATATTTTGCCGTGAAATTGTAATTCATTTTTATTATGTATGCAAATTCAATTTATTTTATAAAATTATGTCGACATTTAATTAAGTAAAAACACTGCTGACCAATTTAATGTTATTTCAAATTGATTTAAGCCGTAAAACTCTTCTTATTCTATATGGTTAGCAAATTTAACGCTCTTTACATTCAGGCGAGAAAATGCTGACCAGTTAAACATATACACATGTAGTAGAATCTGCTGACCAGTTAGATATATAGGGAAAACTGCTGACCAGTTAGAAATATAGAAAAAAATATATTTTGTCGTGAAATTTTAATTCATTTTATTATGTACGAAATTCAATATATTGTATAAAATTTTGTCGACATTTAATTAAGTTAAAACACTGCTGACTTATTTAATATTAATTCAAATTGCAATTATTGCTTTTGAAAATACATTTTTTTTCCGTTACAAGATTTTTCTATTGAAATATCACTAACAAGAGATTTTGATAAAACTCATAACATCATAATTCTTTATAAAACATTAATTCAAATTTTTGCATATCTTTAGAGGTATAAAAAGCTGTTTAATATATCCTTTTAAAATCACGGATTTATATTACATGTAGTAATGTAAATCCGTGTTAAAATGTATGATATTATGGTACTTTAAATGTATATATTAATTTAGTTTATAAACATAGTCATATAAATGCAAAATTAAAAATATAATTAAAAGAATAAAAGTAATTTCCCATCTTTTTATTACCCCCTACGGCGTGTTTATATAACTTCACACCTTCAATGTTTCCCTTCTTTGTGTAACTGGTCAGCATTTTCCGATAATCCTTCTTTATTTAACTGGTCAGCAGTTTCCTATATATCTATATCGTCAGCTAATTCGTCAGCAGTTTAGTGCGACCCCTTCCATGATCGCACCGTTTGTCGGTGAGTTAGTAAATTCTGACCAAGCACCGGTAGACGCACGACAATGCGATACGATATTATTCCAAATGTCGCTTTGCATTGTCGAGTGTCGCTTCGCGTTGTCGAGTATCGCTTCGCGTTGTCGAGTGTCGCTTCGCATTGTCGAGTGTCGCTTCGCAATGTTGAGCGTCGCGGTGTAAAAATCATAAAAATAACGCGACATTTACTCGACATTTTAAAAATGTCGCTTCGCGATGTCGAGTGTCACTTCGCATTGTCGAGCGTCGTATCGCATTGTCGCGTTGTCGTTTCGCATTGTCGAGTGTCGTGGTATGCACTTCTACCAACCTCGACACTCGACAATGCGAAGTGACAATGCGACAACGCGAAGTGACATCGCGACAACGCGAAGTGACATCGCGACAACGCGAAGCGACGCTCGACAATGCGAAGCGACACTCGACAACGCGAAGCGACATTTCTTAAATGTTGTCCTTTTTTACCGCGACATTTCTAGGCGACAGTGCGACATATCGTTTGACACTGTCGAGCGTCGCTTCGCATTGTCGCATATCGCTTCGCGTTGTGCGAGCGTCGCTTCGCATTGTCGCGATGTCACTTCGCATTGTCGTGTGTCTACCCTTAGACGCGACGGACGACATTCTAAATGGCACGATAAGGACACCGTAGAAAAGTGTAAAACATGTTGCAATTAAAATCAATTCACGTTTATTTCTCTTAAATAATATGTACCATTACAAAAATTATATTTATTTTGTCGATAATCATGCCTTTGGTGGTCTCTTTAAAACTTAAACTGTAGAAATATCATGCTGACACAACTTTTAATATATATGTCCAAGGTTTACACTGTCTATGCCCCTTGCATTACGTAGGTTATACATGTGTATATACATCAGTTTTACATTTTATTAGTTAAGTTTAAAATACATCTTCGACTCAGAGAACAACTTCAATAACTTATACAGATTATTGTTTTCATAAAACATATATTCTATTAAATACACAGATATTTGAGAAACTATCGTCCGATTTTATTTCTTAAATTGACAGACTAAGCTATACAAATGTATATATATGAAGCTGTACTTGAGGAACATAAAGCACGTGTAAGCAATGTACATCATCGACAGCGTTATTACTCTCTTTTAGCACTGACAAATGCCCTACAGACGTTCCTCCAATGACTCTTTGATAACATCTTTCACACTTTCATCTTCATTTGTGGTAAAGAACACCCACGCATCTATCAATACTTTACATGGAACCTTCTCATCAGCATTTGGATTGAGAGATTGGAAGAACTT